CTCTAACAGAGGTCATGAATCAAATGGACCTAACAGACATCTACAGAACCTTTTACCCAAACACAAAAGAATTTACCTTCTTCTCAGCACCTCATGGAACCTTCTCCAAAATAGACCATATAGTTGGTCACAAAGCAAGACTCAACAGATACAAGATGATTGAAATAATCCCTTGCATCCTATCTGACCACCATGGACTAAAGCTGGATATCAACAACAACAGAAATAGCAAAAAGCTTACGTACACATGGAAACTGAACAACTCTCTCCCCAATGACAACTAGGTCAGGGAAGAAATGAAGAAATAAATTAAAGACTTCCTAGAAATCAATGAAAATGAAGACAGAAAATACCCAAACTTATGGGAAACAATGAAAGCAGTGCCAAGAAGAAAGTTCATGGCACTAAGTGACTTCAAGAAGAAATTTGAAAAATCTCATTCACTCAACTTAATGGCTCACATGAAAGCCCTAGAAAAAAAAGAAGCAGACACACCCAAGAGGAGGAGATGGATGGAAATAATCAAACTCAAGGCTGAAATCAATAAATTAGAAACAAATAAAACAATTCAAAGAATCAATGAAACCAATAGCTGGTTCTTTGAGAAAACAAGGTAGACAAACCCTTAGCCAAACTAAGTAAAAGGCAGAAAGACACTACCCAAATTAACAAAATCAGAAATGAAAAGGGAGACATAACAACAGACACTGAGGAAATCCAAACAATCATTAGATCTTACTTCAAAAGCCTATACAACACAAAATTTGAAAATCTAAATGAAATGGATAATTTTCTTGATCGGTTCCACTTACCAAAGCTGAATCAAGACCAGGTAAATAAATTAAATAGTCTTATATCCCCTAAGGAAATAGCTGTCATCAAAAATCCCCCATCCAAAAAAAAAAAAAAAAAAAAAAAAAAAAAAAAAAAAAAGCCCGGGGCCAGATAGTTTCAGCACAGAATTCTACCAGACCTTCAGAAAAGAGCCAACACCGATATTCTGAAAACTATTCATCAAGAAAGAAGGAACATTACCAAACTCATTCTATGAAGCCACAGTTACCTTTATACCTAAACCTCACAAAGCTCTCTGACAAAGGAAAGAGAACCTCAGGCCAATCTCTCTTATGAACATTGATGCAAAAATACTGAACAAAATACTCGCAAACTGAATCCTAAAACACATCAAGGATATCATCCACTATGACCAAGCAGACTTCATCTCAGGTATGCAGAGGTGGTTTTATATATGGAAATCCATCAATGTGATCCACCATATAAACAAACTGAAAGAAAAAACACATGATAATCTCCTTAGATGCTGAAAAAGCATTTGACAAAATCCAACACTCATTTATGTTTAAAGTCCTGGAGAGATCAGGGATACAAGGCACTTACCTAAACATGGTAAAGGTGATATACAGCAAGCCTACAACCAACATCGAACTAAATGGAGAGAAACTAAAATCAATCCCACTGAAATCAGGGACAAGGCAAGAGTGCCCACTCTCTCGATATCTCTTGAACATAGTTCTTGAAGTCCTTGCTAGAGCTATAAGACAATTAAAAGAGATTGAGGGGATTCAAATCAGAAAAGACATCAAAAATATAACTATTTGCAGATGATATTATAGTATCATATGAGTATCACATGAGTTACCCCCAAAATTCTGCCAGGGAACTCCTTCACCTGATAAACAATTTCAGCAAAGTAGCTGGATACAAAATTAACTAAAAAAAAAATCAGTAGCCCTCCTGTATAAAAAAGACAACCAGGCTGAGAAACAAATTAGGGAAACAACACCCTTCACAATAGCTACAAAAGACATAAAATACCTTGGTGTAACCCTAACCAAGCAAGTCAAAGACTTGTATGAAAAAAACTTCCAGTCTCTGAAGAAAGAAATAGAAGAAGATTTCAGAAGATAGAAAGATCTCCCATGCTCATGGCTTGGCAGGATTAACATAGTAAAAAATGACCATCTTACCAAAAGCAATCTAAAGATTGAATGCAATTCCCACCAAACTTCCAACACAATTCTTTATGGACATTGAAAGAAAAATGCCCTATTTCATATGGAATAACAAGAAACCCAAAATCAATAAAACAATCCTATACAATAAAAGATCTTCTGGAGGTATCTCCATCCTTGATCGCAAGCTGTACTATAGAGCAACAATAGTAAAAACTGCATGGTACTGGCATAGAAACAGAATGGGGAATCCATGGAATTGAATAGAAGACCCAGAAATAAACCCATACACTTATGGACACCTGATTTTTGACAAAGATGCCAAAACTGTACAATGGAAAAAAGATAGCATGTTCAACAAATGGTGCTGGTCTAACTGGATGTCTACATGTAGAAAATGCAAATATATCCATACTTTTACCCTGAATAAAACTAAAGTCTAAGTGGATCAAAGACCTCCATATAAAACCAGACATACTAAACCTGTTAGAAGATTAAGTGGGGAAGAGCCTTGAACTCATTGGCACAGGAGACAACTTCCTGAACAGAACACCAACAGCACAGGCTCTAAGATCAACAATCAATAAATGGGAACCAATGAACCTGAAAATCTTCTTAGAAGCGAAGGACACTGTTGTCAGACAAAACAACAGCCTACAGACTGGAAAAAAGATCTTCACCAACTCTATATCTGACAGAGAGCTAATATCCAGAATATATAAAAAGAAAACTCAAGAGTTAAACAGCAACAAATCAAGTAATCCAATTAAAAATGGGGTACAGAGCTAAACAGGGAATTCTCAATAGAGGAATATCGACTGGCAGAGAAACACTTAAAAAAATGGTCAACATCCTTAGTCATCAGGAAAATGCAAATCAAAACAACCCTGAGATTTTACCTTACTTCCATCAGAAAAAAAATACCTGGGAAACTTTACTAGAATAAAATACAGAGAATCCCATGGATGACAACAATAAGAAGTTCCAAGATGACAGCAGTGTAGCAGATGTAGAAAGCAACCACCCAATTAACGGGGAACTGGCATCTTGAAAGTCAAAGGAATCTCCATGTGTGGGATTGTATTGGGAGACAACTGGAGTCATAGGAAGATGTGAATAATACTACTGATAAAGAAAATTTAAACCAGCCAGGTGCAGTGGCACATGCCTGTAATTCCAGCACTCAGGGATGCAGAGGCAGGGAGACCTCTGTGAGTTGGAGGCTAGCCTGATCTACAAAGTGAATCCAGGACATCCAAGGATACACAGAGAAACTCTATCTCGAAAAAAACAAAAGAAAAAGAAAATTAAAAACGAAGGTAATTATTAATGTCAGGAAAATAAGGGTGAGAAGCATACGACATCATGCAAAATGATTATTGTTGAGACCCTTGACATCATGTCATCTTTTCAGTAACAGGAACCTACGTGATTTCTTAAAGCCAGTGACTATTATTATAATTATAAGGTAATGTTCCTAACATGTTGCAAGTGAAAAGAGGCATGAAGGAGCACAAATGTAACCCAAATTACTAAGAAGTCAGATTGTAATGTCTAAGATATATTTTTTAAAAATTAGTGGCAGAGGAGGTGACTAAAAAAAAAAAAAAAGGCTGCATCTTGGGACAGAAAACAGAGAAGGTAAGAGAAAAGGCAAAATCATATTTTAAGTCTTTTAGTGTTTGTTTTTTTTTTAAACCAATGGCTACATTTTATTTTGGGGGAACACAATTAATGTCAGTAACCTGGAGCTCTTAAAAGTCTCACTACAAGTAGAGGGTAGATAGGATATGAGGCATTGCTGATAGTACTAGGGAAACATAAATAATGCTAACAAATACAAAAATGAGAAAAATGACATTTAATAAAATGATAGGTACCTAAAGAATTCTGAGCAAACTTATAGTCCAGGGCAGAATGGAAAAGATGAAGACCTACCTCCAATGAAAGTACTGATCTCAGGCAGTTCACAAAGCAAATTGGAATTGAGCATGTAGAAGCGAACAATATAGTTATGCCAGTTCTGCTCTGTAAAGGGGGATGGAAAGCTTCCTTGCCCTCCTAGGAGGTCAGAATTTCAATCTACTACCCAAACCATTTTAATTAAACAATATAAACATGAAGTGAAACATAGGCCAGAAATATCCTATAACCAAATCAACCTGTGTATCAAAACTAATTCATCATGGATAAATTTAGCTTATGTTTAAGGACTCAAGAATTTAAAAGCTAAATAGCACAAGGATGATTTAAACAAATATAAAAAACATTCTGTGAAAGAAAAAGGAAACATCCTTGGTTTAAAAATCTCAGTATTTCTCTCTGAAAGAAACCATCATAAAAATGCAATGTAGAAGGACCTCCAGAAATGCAAGTCTGACCTGCTTGCTACAGACGGTACTAGAGGATTTCCTGGGTATTGGAGATCTTAGCAATTAATACTAATATGCAGTACTTAGGGCAGATGAAGGGTGAAAAGTGTGGAGCAGAAAATGTTATAAAAAGTATAGAAGAAGAGTGAAGACCTCAAAAGTGGAAGAATTGTCCAATTCAAAAGAAACTAAAAAAGAAAAGCCTAGTTTTTCTTTCTTATGAAGATCATTATTGTTAAGTGATTTACAAATAACGTATTTTTTTTTTTTTTACTTCTTGGTGGAGGCTTGATGACCTTTTATAATTTTTACTATCAACTTTTGGAACAGGGGTTTTTCTGATTTTCTTAGATTTTGGTGGAGAGCAGGAGAGTTTAATGTAAACCCTGGTGCAGAATGGCTTTAATCCGCCATCTTTTTTGCTCCAATCTTAAGACAGAGAATAACGCTCTTAAAACACAAGGTGGCGCTGCAGGCTAAAAAGAGGAAAAGAAAGGGACGGGAAGGAAGAAAAATGCACAAAGGGTATTCCGGATTTCCCACAAAGCCATAGGAAATTATACAGCTTTCAGTATAGCTTGGGAGAAGGCGCCTCACTCTTTTCACAGGAATTGCTAGTGTCCAGGTCATTCCTAAGGATTCCAGCTGCTGACATTCCAGAGAGCTGCCCGAGGCCAAGTGGAAAGATTTTTAATTTGAAGAATGGAGACCAGATTGGAGCAAGCTATGCAGAAAAGGCAAGTACTGTTTCTTTGTGTATTTCTGGGAGCATCTTGGGCTAGAGCCAAACAGCTTCAGTATTTTGTGGCAGAGGAAACTGATAAAGGCACTTTCCTGGGCAATCTAGAGAAAGATTTGGGGTTAGGGCTGAGGGAACTGTCAGCCCGTGAAGCTAGAATTGTTTCTGACCAGAACACACAGTTTTTACTGCTCAGTCCGCTTACTGGAGAATTAATCCTAAACGAGAAGCTGGACCGAGAGGAACTGTGTGGCCCCACAGAGCCCTGTGTGCTGGCTTTCCAGGTGCTGTTGGAAAAACCATTTCAGATCTACAGCGCTGCACTCCATGTCAAAGATATAAATGATAATTCTCCAGTATTTCTAGACAAAGAAATCCTCTTGAGAATATCAGAAAGTACCACTCCAGGGGCGACGTTTCTCTTGGAAAGGGCACAGGACTCTGACGTGGGAAGGAACAGCCTGAGTAACTACACCATCAGTCCCAACGCTAACTTCCACATTCAAGTGCATGATGGAGGGGAGGGGGTTGTCTTTCCTGAGCTGGTGCTGGATCAAATGCTGGACCGGGAAGAAATACCAGAGTTCACGTTAACTCTCACAGCCTTAGATGGTGGAGCTCCGCCCAGATCTGGGACCGCCCTGGTGAAAATCCTGGTGTTAGATATAAATGACAACTCCCCCGAATTTGCGCAGTCGCTCTACAAAGTGCAGTCACCTGAAAACACCCCTGTTGGCTCCTTGGTGGTTGCTGTGTCTGCTAGGGATTTAGACACGGGAAGTTATGGACAAATAGCGTACACATTTTTTTATGCCACTGAGAGAATTCTCCAAACGTTTCAAATCAATTCTACATCCGGCAGTCTTTATCTTAAAGGTGAACTCAACTACGAAGCAATCCAAACTTACTCAATAACCATTCAGGCCAAAGATGGTGGAGGACTCTCTGGGAAATGCACTGTGGTTGTAGAGGTAACAGATGTAAACGATAACCCACCCGAACTTCTCATGTCATCACTTACTAGCCCAATTGCAGAAAATTCGCCAGAAACAGTCGTTGCAGTTTTTAAGATTAGAGACAGAGATTCGGGAAACAACGGGAAAACCATGTGCTCCATTCCGCATGATCTCCCTTTCGTCCTGAAGCCATCTGTGGAAAATTTCTACACCCTGGTAACAGAGAAGCCTTTAGATAGAGAATCGAACACTGAGTACAACATCACCATCTCCGTCTCCGACATGGGCTCACCCAGGCTCAAAACCCAGCACACCATAACAGTGCAGGTGTCTGACATCAACGACAACGCCCCCGCCTTCACCCAATCCTCCTACGCCCTGTCTGTCCGCGAGAACAACAGCCCCGCCCTGCACATAGGCACCATCAGAGCCACAGACTCAGACTCTGGCTCCAACGCCCACATCACCTACTCGCTGCTGCTGCCACAGGACCCGCAGCTGGACCTCAACTCTTTAGTCTCCATCAACGCAGATAATGGGCAGTTGTTCGCGCTCAGGGCCCTGGACTATGAGGCTCTAAAGTCCTTCGAGTTCCGCGTGGCCGCCATAGACCAAGGCTCCCCTGCTCTCAGCAGCCAGGCGCTGGTGCGAGTCCTGGTGCTGGATGACAATGACAATGCGCCCTTCGTGCTCTACCCTCT